TAAACCTCCAACATAAACACGCGTCCCCACCATTCTGGAAAGAAATGTACACATTACTGTATTACAAAAGGACACTATTATAAAATAAGCAAAATAATACCAAGTATGAAGATGTAATTTTTTTAACAATAGCCATTTTCCACAAAGGTAGGATGATCCCAAAAAATGGAAACGTTCACCAGCATTCGTTCAGTTGCTGTTCTGCCATAAGTGTACTGATATCACAGTGCAAATGACCCTCTGAGCTGTCACATTCTCATCTCTCCTTTAGAGTGCAGACACTGTACTTTCCACCTCCAGCACCCATAGAAGCCTGTGCAAATTACTTAAGATAACCCAATAAAGTCAAAGACTTATTTCCATTTGGGTCCTTATATCCCTTAATAAACGTTACCTTGCTTACACTCCAACAAGTCATTCCAATCTAACACCTTCACACAAGCCTGTTGCATGTTCAGGCCTAGTATTCAAAACCTACCTTCTCCCTCCATACCTCACACTGAGTGTTGATGTCACTATATGAAGGTACATTAAAGTTTTGTCTTGGAAATGCTTCTCAACACATGCTGCAACATGCCTATGGTACCTTTTTCTTCTTACCTATTCTACAGTTCACTTTGTCTTTCACAGAACTATCTGCTGACAGGTCCACTCCCAAATACGTATATGAATGCATTGACTTCTTCCATACTCCTGCCAATCTGATATCCTAGTTTTCACTGCCTAGCATTTTTTTTTACTCTAATCATCTTGCTTTTTTCTATGTTCACTTTTAACTGCCTACTTTACATAGCCTTCTGTAATATGACTGAATTTTATCAGACTAGCAGATAATCACCATTAATGCAACACAGTGATTCTAATCATTAATTTGTTAAAAAAGTGAAATCAAGCTGTTTAGAATGCAAATCAAGATGATAAAAAATGAGGGATGTGGTTAGTATGAGAGTTATTCATCCCTGCAACACCTCAACTACACTGCTGACCAAAGCATTGTTTATAGGTGTTGGCATGTGCATTTGAAGCCCATGTTACTCAAGGGGTCAACTGTATTCTTATCCTCATATACTGTACTTGCATTCATAATCAAGCTTTAATAGTCTACCTGCTTGTTTGTCATTAAGTAATACCATTGTAAACCTGTAATTAAACTTGAATCTCAAATTCACCAGCTCCCATTTTCACTTAGTTGTGTTATTTTTCAGATGAAATTAATACTTAGAAATTAGCTATGAAACTATTACTGTGTAAAGTCGATGCTTCGGGAATTTGAGCTCATGATTAGAATGCCATGTCATGTAAAAAAAATTGTACTAGACCATAACCCAAATTAATTTTTCAAGTTCTTGTACTGATTTTTTTTTATTTTTATTTTGAATAGAACTAGCATTCCTGAATTGAACATCATCTAATGTACAAAACAGTATCTATTAACCCTTTCAGGGTCTGTCCCATATATATATGGCTTTGAAGCCCAGGTCCAAACCGTAATCTATGCCATGAGCTCAGCTCACTCAAATAACCTGTGAGTGGTAAATTTTGGCCTAGATATGAGAGAACACATCTACGTGGTGATTGTGCACCAAATAAAACAAATCCTGCAGCATGCAGTGCATAATGAGGAAAAAAACCGACCGTAATTTTGGATTAAAACAGCGACTTTGCAGTATTTTTTCCTAAGGATTTTACAGTTGTATTCGCGATTTTTTGGTCCCATTGATAGAATGCAATATTTATTACAGAAATAGAGATGATTTTGATTGGTTTTAACCCGTAAACAGTCCAAACGTATATATACGTTTTTACCGCTAGTGCCCCAAACATACATATACATTTTATGTGTCCTACATTTAACATTGCCACGATAGGCCTGAGTCGCCTAGACATGTGAGAATGGGTGTGAGCACTCACTGTGCACCATATTAAAATAATTGGGGATGCCTGGGTACCATATGCTTTTTTTTCCTATTAAAAAACAACAATTTTTTTTTTCTCAAAAAAGTTGGGGCAGTACGGTAGTGAACGTATATATACGTTTGGACCGTTTACGTGTTAATACTGAAAATGGCTTGAAACTGAGCTCAAAGTAGAGGAAATGTTAAATTTTTGCCGATGTTCAAGAGTAAACAAATGTCGTCGTGAGTCAAATACGTAAGTGTCTGCTGGTGGGTCTAATATACGTTTACGAATGTGCTGATATTATTTATACAACTATTACAACATTGCATAACAGTAAATCTTCTATTTTTTTTTTGGTGTGAATAAAAATTCATTATGTGAATAAAAAATCAAAATGGAATTCATTTGTAAAGACTAAAAACATAATTAATGAACAGAGGAAATGTTAGTTTAGGGCCAGGAATGCCTGCATTATTTATTCTAGACCCTATTTTGAATTGGGATTATTCTGAGCTTTGCGTTAAATTGGCCAAATTACCAATTTCCGATCACTTTATTGGGTAGTTGAAACAGTTGACGAGATTCTTGTGCTCAGTCGATAAAACAGAAGTAATACAGTGGACCCCTGCTTTAAGATCGCCTCCCAACATGACCAATTATGTAAGTGTATTTATGTAAGTGCGTTTGTACGTGTATGCTTGGGGGTCTGAAATGGACTAATCTAATTCACAATATTCCTTATGGGAACAAATTCGGTCAGTACTGGTACCTGAATGTACTTCTTCTGGAATGAAAAAATATTGTAAACCGGGGGTCCACTGTACTAGCAAAATAGCTAAGAATTTGGTTGACTGGAATAATGTAATTGGCCTAAACTGGAAGTCAAAGTTGGCAAAACTGCAAATGCATAAATATCGCTGACACATCAAAATTTGCGAGAGTGTAATTTTGTTAATTTTCCATCAAATTTCGTACTTTTTGTTTTATTACCTTCAAAAAAGGATTCTCTACCATTTCATAAGAAAAAATAACAAAAATTTTTTTTTGAAAATTCTTGGACCCTGGCTGTCACTCTGAAAAGGTTAAGTCTGCTAATGTCAACTAATATAAAAGATAGCACCTATAAACTCTCCAGACTATAACCCAACTAATTATTTCTTATAATCATGTGCAAAAATATACCACTGTAATCTTAAGATAGGTTTAAGCTTGCCAGAAATGCTCTGCATAACTATTGGCTTTCAACATGCTCTCAAGTGTCACCCACTTCTGTATAAACAATGTATGATGTTGAAATAAACTTGAATCTGTATTAGAACAACTCAATCCTCATATCAACATTCCCAAGCAGTTTAGCAATGCAGCAGGCCTAGAGGTTTTTTCATGCTTGAATGCACAGGCAACTTCACTCTCTTCATCTGATACACTACTACTCACTGCCTGAAAAAGTCAAAAGATCCCTATCTGTCAACATCTATACTAATACAGTGGACCCCCGCATAACAATCACCTCCGAATGCGACCAATTATGTAAGTGTATTTATGTAAGTGCGTTTGTACGTGTATGTTTGGGGGTCTGAAATGGACTAATCTACTTCACAATATTCCTTATGGGAACAAATTCGGTCAGTACTGGCACCTGAACATACTTCTGGAGTGAAAAAATATCGTTAACTGGGGGTCCACTGTATTGTTAAGCAGCACCTATTAACTTTGCAAATTCTAATGATATTTTCACACCATGTCCTTAATCAGTGCAACAAGGAGTACCTGTCATGAGATTTTGAGCTTTTATGACATTAATTATATACTAGATCTAGATTTAAGTGTTATGTAAGCCTTATGATTAGTTTTCCTGAAATTTATCTTCTGAGCCTACAACTGTTATTAAATTATATCTGCATTATACAAAGAGCAATATTTAAAACACAATCAGTTGGAATGTATAACTACTGTAACTTCTATGTAAGGTTCACCAAAATTTATTTATTTATTTATTATTATTAACAAGACTGTCCAATTTCCTAGAATCACTTGAGAAAGTTTATTTCATGTGGTCAAAATATTGTATACCTTTGTAAAATGCCTCGTCTGTTTAGTCCTTTTTTTTTTTTTTTTTTTTCAACAAGTCGGCCGTCTCCCACCGAGGCAGGGTGACCCAAAAAAGAAAGAAAATCCCCAAAAAGAAAATACTTTCACCATCATTCAACACTTTCACCACACTCGCACACTATCACTGTTTTTGCAGAGGTGCTCAGAATACAACAGTCTAGAAGCATACACATATAAAGATACACAACATATCCCTCCAAACTGCCAATATCCCAAACCCCTCCTTTAAAGTGCAGGCACTGTACTTCCCATTTCCAGGACTCAAGTCCGACTATATGAAAATAACCGGTTTCCCTGAATCCCTTCACTAAATATTACCCTGCTCACACCCCAAAGATCGTCAGGTCCCAAGTACCTTTTCGTCTCCATTCACTCCTATCTAACACGCACACGCACGCTTGCTGGAAGTCCAAGCCCTCGCCCACAAAACCCCTTTACCCCTTCTCTCCAACCCTTTCGAGGACGAACCCCTACCCCGCCTTCCTTCCCCTATAGTTTTTATATGCTTTCCATGTCATTCTACTTTGATCCATTCTCTCTAAATGCCCAAACCACCTCAACAACCCCTCTTCTGCCCTCTGACTAATACTTTTATTAACTCCACCCCTTTTCTCCTAATTTCCAAACTCCGAATTTTCTGCATAATATTTACACCACACATTGCCCTTAAACAGGACATCTCCACTGCCTCCAAACGTCTCCTCGCTGCTGCATTTACCACCCAAGCTTCACACCCATATAAAAGTTTTGGCACACTATACTTTCATACATTCCCTTCTTTGCCTCCATAGATAACGTTTTTTGACTCCACATATACCTCAACGCCCCCACTCACCTTTTTTCCCTCATAAATTTCTATGTTTTAACCTCACCCTTTCATAAATCCATCCGCCGACAGTCAACTCCCAAGTATCTGAAAACATTAAACTTCTTCCATACTACTCCTCTCCAATTTGATACCCAAATTTTTTTCTTTATCTAAATCATTTGACACCCTCAATCCCCTTACTCTTTTCTATGTTCACTTTCAGCTTTCTACCTTTACCCCACATTCCCAAACTCATCCACTAACCTTTGCAATTTTTCTTTAGAATCTCCCATAAGCACAGTATCATCAGCAAAAAGTAACTGTGTCAATTCCCATTTTGAATTTGATTCCCCAAAATTTAATCCACCCTCTCCCGAACACCCTAGCATTTACTTCCTTTACAACCCCATCTATAAATAATAAACAACCATGGTGACATTACACACCCCTGTCTAAGACCTACTTTACCGGGAAATAGTCTCCCTCTCTTCTAAACACCCTAACCTGAGCTTCACTATCCTCATAAAAACTCTTTACAGCATTTAATAACTTACCACCTATTCCATATACTTGCAACATCTGGCACATTGCTCCTCTATCCCACTCTATCATATGCCTTTTCTAAATCCATAAATGCAATAAAAATTTCCCCTACCTTTATCTAAATACTGTTCCCACATATATGCTTCAATGTAAACACTTGATCTACACATCCCCTACCCACTCTGAAACCTCCTTGCTCATCCGCAATCCTACATTCTGTCTTACCTGTAATTCTTTCAATTATAACCCAAACCGTACACTTTTCCTGGTATACTCGTAAGCTTATTTCTCTATAATTTTTACAGTCTTTTTTGTCCCCTTTCCCTTTATATAAAGGGACTATACATGCTCTCCGCCAATCCCTAGGTACCTTCCCCTCTTTCATACATTTATTGAACAAAAGTACCAACCACTCCAACACTAATCCCCCCCCTGCTTTTAACATTTCTGTCATAATCCCATCAGTTTCCAGCTGCTTTACCCCCTTTCATTTTACGTAATACCTCACGTACCTCCCCCACACTTACATTCTGTTCTTCTTCACTCCTAAAAGATGGCATACCTCCCTGACCATGCATGAAATTACTGCCTCTGTTTCTTCCTTAACATTTAAAAGTTCCTCAAAATATTCTTGCCATCTACCTAATACCTCCATCTCCCCCTCTACTAACTCCCCTACTCTGTTTTTAACTGACAAATCCATATTTTCCCTTTGGGGTTTTTTAACTTTTTAAACTCACTCCAAAAATTTTTTTTTTATTTTCATTAAAATTTCTTGACATGCCTCTCCCCCTCTATCATCTGCTCCCTTTTTCCTCTCTCACCACTCTCTTTACCTTTCTTTTACTCTCCATATATTTTGCTCTTCTTATAACACTTCTGCTTTGTAAAAACCTCTCATAGCTACCTTTTTCTCTTTTATCACACCCTTTACTTCATCATTCCACCAATCACTCCTCTTTCCTCCTGCACCCACCCTCCTATAACCACAAACTTCTGCCCAAAATTCTAATACTGCATTTTTAAAACTATTTCCCAAACCCCCTTCAACCCCCCTATTACTCATCTTTGCACTATCCCACCTTTCTGCCAATAGTCGCTTATATCTCGCCCGAACTTTTCCCCCTCCCTTAGTTTATACACTTTCACCTCCCCTTACTTGTTGTTTTCCCCCTTCCTCTTTTTCCCATCTACCTCTTACTCTAACTGTAGCTACAACTAAATAATGATCCGATATATCATTTTGCCCCTCTATAAACATGTACATCCTGGAGCCTACCCATCAACCTTTTATCCACCAATACATAATCTAATAAACTACTTCATTACGTGCTACATCATACCTTGTATATTTATTTATCCTCTTTTTCATAAAATATGTATTACTTATTACCAAATTTCTTTCTACACATAGCTCAATTAAAGGCTCCCCATTTACATTTACCCCTGGCACCCCAAATTTACCTACTACTCCCTCCATAACATTTTTACCCACTTTAGCATTGAAATCCCCAACCACTATTACTCTCACACTTGATTCAAAACTCCCCACGCATTCACTCAACATTTCCCAAAATCTTTCTCTCTCCTCTACACTTCTCTCTTCTCCAGGTGCATACACGCTTATTATAACCCACTTTCACATCCAATCTTTATTTTACTCCACATAATCCTTGAATTTATACATTTATAGTCCCTCTTTTCCTGCCATAGCTTATCCTTCAACATTATTGCTACTCCTTCTTTAGCTCTAACTCTATTTGAAACCCCTGACCTAATCCCATTTATTCCTCTCCGCTGAAACTCTCCCACCCCCTTCAGCTTTGTTTCACTTAAAGCCAGGACATCCAGCTTCTTCTCATTCATAACATCCACAATCATCTCTTTCTTATCATCTGCACAACATCCACGCACATTCAGACTTCCCACTTTGACAATTTTCTTCTTCTTATTCTTTTTAGTAATCTTTACAGGAAAAGGGGTCACTAGCCCATTGTTCCCGGCATTTTAGTTGACTTTTACAACACGAATGGCTTACGGAGGAAAGATTCTTATTCCACTTCCCCATGGATATAAAAGGAAAATTAATAAGACCAAGAACTATTAAGATAAAATCAAAGAAAACTCAGATGAGTGTGTATAAATAAATGTGTATATGTATGAGTAGTGTGACCTAAGTGTAAGTAGAAGTAGCAAGACATGCCTGTAATCTTGCATATTTATGAGACAGACAAAAGACATCAGCAATCCTACCATCATGTAAAACAATCACAGGCTTTCGTTTTACACTCACTTGGCAGGACGGTAGTACCTCCCTGGGTGGTTGCTGTCTACCAACCTACTACCTAGGTTAGTCCTTTTATTAGTAGTAATTCATAATACTGTAAAGTAAGCTATTTTTCGTGTTACATTCACGAATATAAATAGTGATAAACTCATATGGCTCACCTAAGGCTTGAGGTAAGATTATTTTACTATTTATTAACACATCGGCCGATTCCCACCAAGGCAGGGTGGCCCAAAAAAGAAAAACTTTCATCATCATTCACTCCATCACTGTCTTGCCAGAGGGGTGCTTTACACTACAGTTATAAAATTGCAACATTAACACCCCCTCCTTCAGAGTGCAGACAGCGTACTTCCCATCTCCAGGACTCAAGTTCGGCCTGCCAGTTTCCCTGAATCCCTTCATACATGTTACTTTGATCATACTCCAACAGCACGTCAAGCATTAAAAACCATTTGTCTCCATTCACTCCTATCAAATACACTTACAAATGCTTGCTGCAAGTCCAAGCCCTTCACACACAAAACCTCCTTTACCCCCTCCCTCCAACCCTTCCTAGACAGACCCTTACCCTGCCTTCCCTCCACAGCAGATTTATACACTCGAAGTCATTCTGTTTTGTTCCATTCTCTCTACATGTCCAAACCACCTCAACAACCCCTCCTCAGCCCTCTGAATAATAGTTTTGGTAATCCCACACCTCCTAATTTCCAAACTACGAATTCTCTACATTATATTCACACCACACATTGCCCTCAGACATGACATCTCCACTATCTCCAGCCTCCTCCTCGTTGCAATATTCATCACCCATGCTTCCTAACCATACAAGTGTTGGTACAACTATACTCTCATACATTCCCCTTTTTGCTTCCACAGACAAAGTTCTTTGTCTCCACAGACTCCTAAGTGCACTACTCACCCTTCTCCCTTCATCAATTCTACGATTCACCTCATCCTTCATAGACCCATCTGCTGACACGTTCACTCCTAAATATCTGAATACATTCACCTTCTCCATACTCCCTCTCTCCAAGGATTATTACCATTGAAGTATATTTAGTTTTTCTCCCATGATGAGACACACAACAATCAACTCTTAAGTATCCATCTATTGTTAGGTAGTCTAAACTGACAATCCAGTTTAGGTTACTATCTCTCTATATTAACATGTATTAAATTTGATTTCAAGCACTCTAAACATTATTGCATTCATGAGGGGGGTGCTAAACCCATAGGAGTCATAGAGAACCTGGAGGAATGGAAGGCATTAATATATCTTTATTTACTACAAGTACATGTACAAGGTATACAGTCCTAGCTGACAACAATGACATACTACTATATAGAAACTCCCTTGTTATGCTCTGCATTTCGGGCAAATTAGGTCAGTGTCCCGGGATGCGACCCACACCAGTCGACTAACACCCAGGTACCCATTTTACTGATGGGGAACATAGACAACAGGTGGAAAGAAACACGTCCAATGTTTCTACTCTGGCTGGGAATCGAACCCAGGCCCTCGCCGTGTGAAGCGAGAGCGTTAGCCACCAGGCCACCAGCATTGGTCCAATGCCCTCACCAGCATTAAGGAACTTCCCTTGATGGGCTAAACTTTAATATAAAATTAAGCACTAAACCCAAAAGTATGTACTGTTAACCAGTTTTAAGTCCTAGTTTTAGAACTGCCCAAAATGTTCTGCATAATCAATGGCTTTCCTTTAAGCTTAAAACCCATGCCCATAGAAACAAGTCAATTTGACCTCTTTGGGTTATCCTAGGTAATTTACACATGTTATTATGTATAATAATTATACTTGAGTGTACTTGTACCTAAATAAACTTTACCCCAATGGAAGTAGGTCAAGGACCCCAATGGAAATACATCACTTTGATTATCCTGAATGGCTAACCCTCCAGGGCTGTAACAAAAAGAAAAAAAATACAAAATTTTATCTCACCGACACTTTTTGGGTTATTCTTGGTAATTTACACAATGATAAGTGGAAACAAGTCACTGATTTTTTCCCTTGGGTTATCCTAGGTAATTTACACTATGTATGATAACTGTACGTATGTGTACCTCTATTTAAATGAACTTAGTTAACAAGGTCAGTATTGTCACACTTCAATGATTAATTGATCAGGTTTACTAACTGGACACTAAATTCCCCCTGGCATTGTTTAAGGGCAGTTTCCGTGTTCAAGACACCTGCTGTCACGCTGCTCACACATTTTATTAAGGAGAAAAGATAACGAGGATAATAATGGTAACTGGCAGCCCAAGACCAAGTATATGTAAACAATGTATATAATGATAAACTGGCTTCATACATGTCTCAAACTCTCCTGTATTAGCATTGCCAGCGATTTAAGTGTTTACATGTTGCTCTGTATCTTACGTGAGGTACAAAAATGCAGTAATATGAAGAAAATATTAGATATGGGAGTCCGCCAGCGTTGGCTGTGATGGGGGGTTGTCTGGGATAGACTCCTTCCTCAACACTTGCCTCACTTATCCTATTATCTCCACACATCTCTCAATACTACGGGCAAGACTACAGTATTATACCTGTGTAGTTATATCTGCGGCTTCCAATGAGGTTTTAGCATCAAAATCTGCGAGGGCTGGTAATAAGAGGGGGGTAGGAATACTAGCGAGTATTAAATGTAGCGCTGACAACTGAGCCTCATGGTGTCGTCGCTATAAAATACCAAGGTTTCCTTAAAATATCGACATCGGTATTATTTTCTTTGTCCCATATTAACCTTTTAATGGCAAAAAAACATGATGGGATAAGAAAAGAGAGAATTTGGGGAGGTAATAGAGGAGTGAGAGTTGAAAGGAAGAGGAGGAGACGCAAGCGATAATGGCGGCGCACATGATGATGGCGAATAAAGATTTTCTAGCGTTTTCCCAACCTTGTCTCGTGGGTTTAGACTGGCGGCCTGGCGATGCCTTGCAGCTGATACTTCGCCGGTGCTCGCTACACCCAGCTTCTCCTATATTCTCTCTCGTAGGTGCAGTGCTCGCCCTTGTGAGCAGCCAGGGTGAAATTTGTGTCTTTATACTCGAGATTAAGGTTATGCCTCACACACTTTCCTTACCTTACCAGACTCTGTGTTAATATAACCATCTAGCCTCACACACCAGTCTTCTACCTCCCCACACTACCCTCTCTTTATGGTTCAAGTTTGATTTACCAACGAGATTATTTTTTTTTAACAATGATGACAACATAATGTCATCATTACTGTGACAATCTTTGTGACTCAACATATTTACCAGTATTAGTGTCTCCTGGATAATAGACAACGCATACTAGATAAACGGAAAGCTTGCCCACCAGGAAAATGGTAAGAGGTCAATTAACCATCATAAGCCTTAATAATTGTTTATTTTTTTTTTTTGGGGGGGGGGGGGGTGGAGGGAGGGACAGATGGAGTTATTTGAGGTCAGATCTATTAGGGTAGATAAGGTTATTGTCAAAATATCTGCTGGTCATGTGATCATTGCCAGAGGTTCATGATATGTGATATATGTTAAACTCTTCCTTGTACCTAACCCCTCAAAGGAAGGGCTCTTGATCCAAGGAACTAAACTTTTCCTCCCTTTCATCCAACTTTATTGCTTCCCATTCTTTGACTGTTACATGAGCCCTACAGGTTTAGTACTTCACTATGGTACATTTTCCTTGTAAGTTATATACAGTACACTGTTAACCTATTATTGTAACAGATGTATCTTCTTGGGAAATTAAAAATGTTATTTCCAGTAAATGCAGTATATACAATTGTTTTAAAATTAGACAACAGGTTGTATAGATTTAATGGAAAGCTGTGTCCCATGGCTTGGTTGGCTACTCTTTTTGCCTTGCACCCCTCAAGGAAGGTTCCTTGATGTTGGTGAGGGGCTCTTGATTTAGGGAATTAGATCTGTGCTCCAGTTCCCCGAATTAAGCCTGAATGCCTTTCACATCCCCCCCCCAGGCGCTGTATAATCCTCTGGGTTTAGCGCTTCCCCCTTGATTATAATAATAATAATAATTTGCCTCGCACAGTGTTTGGGGTTCGATCCCCTGCATGTTGGACATGTTTCCTTACACCTGCTGTCCGTGTTCACCTAGCAAGTAGGTGCCTGGTGTGGGCTGCATCCTGGGGGACAAGATTGAAGAACCCTAGTGGAAATAAGACGGACAGTCTTCGACGATGCACTGACTGCGTTATCCTGCATGGTTAACGCTCTGGGGTTAAAAATTTGAACAAATCTTATCTTAATCTTAGAGCACAGTCGGCCCCCTCAAGGGAGGTTTCTTCATGCTGATGAGGGACTGTTAATCTAAAGAATCAGACCTACCCTTCCTTGGATCAAACTTGAATGCCTTCCCTAAGCCCTGTATGGGCTTAGCATTCCCCCATTAATGAAATAATAATAATAAGAGCATAATCAAGGTGTTAACACAAAATGTCTACATGTAGGTGCTCTATAATCCCTACGGCTGTATAGCCCTTGTGGCTTAGCGCTTCTTTTTGATTATAATAATAATAATATAATCCCTATGGATTTAGCACTCCCCCATTATTAATAATAATAATAATAATAATGAAATGTTTAGCATACCATTGAAAATTTCTTCAAACAGTTGTGTTAGAATCCTATTATTTATCTTTAAGATTTGATAAGGTTTCCTTGGTGTATATTGAAAGATTCACATTAATTTCTCCAACAGAAATAGTGTAATTTATGTCACTTTGTTCTCATTCCTCATTTATGTAAAGCCTTACTATTGACTTGCTATATAATACTATGTTGTATATGGTCCTAGGAAATGATCTAGCCTCTTAAGAAAACAGCAAAATAATTGTAATTTATATTCTATTACTATGACTTTTTTTTAAATTTTGTGATTAGTGTGCTGAGCTCAAACCTGAGATGATGTGGGGTCAACCTCACTACAAGGCTGGACATGTGATCAAGTCTCCTAACAGCTACATCTTTCAAGGGAGGTTCCTTGATGCTGGTGAAGGGCTGTTGATCCAAGGAATTGAACCTATCATCCTCTTCCTTGGATCGAACCTGACATCCTTCCATTCCCCCAGGCACGGTATAACCCTTCCAAGCTTATCACTTCCCTCTGATACTACTACTACTACTACTACTACTACTACTACTACTACTACTACTACTACTACTACTACTACTACTACTACTACTACTACTACTACTACTACTACTACTACTACTACTACTACTACTACTACTACTACTACTACTACTACTACTACTACTACTACTACTACTACTACTACTACTACTACTACTACTACTACTGCTACTGCTACTGCTACTACCACTACCACTGCCACAGTTTTGTAGCAGTAAATAAAATACAATTGATACTGTACCTGTGAGTTAATCAACTGTTTTGGGCTGCATCCTGGGGAGAACCTAAAATGGACCCCACTGGTAATAAACCACATTCATTAGCTTCATTCAGTTATCCTGGGTTACAAACTCTTCAGGGTTCATAATCTGAATTTAATCTTCTTCCATATTTATTTATCTGTAATACAGTGAGTACTGTTTTTATTGAGCAGTTTATTATTATTATTATTATTATTATTATTGAGCAGTTTATTATTTATTATTAGTCAATGTAATACTCTTTCTTGCACTATTCGGATTACCATAGTAACCGTCAGGGTTAGTAGCCCAGAATAATCCAAAAAACCCACACAGTGTTCCATATTTCGATTAGGGTATTTTTTTTTTTTTTTAAGGTCTTCCCCATGAAGTTTGCCCAAAATGTCCTGGCATGATAGTGGCTTTCTTTGTACTTAATAAATCAAAATTGTAATTACACATTGTAACCTTTGCGAAGAAATAAAATCTTAATCTTTTAATCTTTAAATGATCTCCTAGGTACAGCAATGTATAACTCTTGTGGGTTTAGTGTTTAGTTATGATTATAATACGTAATAATAATAATAAATCACCTAGGTAGCTGTTTAGCGCTAGAAAAAAAATTTGTTTGGATTATTAACCCAGAAGGTTAGCAACTCATGATAACCCAGTGAAGTCAGGATGTCACATGGGGACTGTTTGTCTTATATCTTTTAGGAATTTTTAACACTCTCCAAGATGTGACCCACAATAGTCACCTAACACTCATGTACCTACTTATTGCTAGTTAACAGAAAGCAGGTGTTAAGAGCCCCTCTCATGCAGTATAACCTGCTTTGCACAAATAAAAATATAGTGCTCCTTCGACAGTCTTGGTATGTATGTGACTACATCTCTATAAACTATGCTAAAAGAATATTGTCTAATAAGATATTAAAAACATCTTGGAGAACACACACTATGCTGGATTTAATTTCTCATCCACAGTTCTTTCCCTTATTCCACTTAATTGCGTTGTATAAGTATCTTCAAATAGTCTCAGAGTTGCTTTGATAACTTTATAAAGTGAAAATTTTATTTAGATAAGATATTGTACCTATACTTGAGAGTTATAGTAGTAGCTTACAAATGTATATTTTTTACTAGGACAACCCCATATTTTTTAAAGCATTTTGGGCAGTCTTACACTAGGACTAATGCTAATAATATAAAAATACAGTGGACCCCCGCTTAACGATCACCTCCCAATGCGACCAATTATGTAAGTGTATTTGTGTAAGTGCGTTTGTACGTGTATGTTTGGGGGTCTGAAATGGACTAATCTACTTCACAATATCCCTTATGGGAACATACTTCTGGAATGAAAAAATATCGTTAACCGGGGGTCCACTGTATATTGGACATTATGTATAAATATAATACTGTACATACAAAATGAACATGGAGTATAAATTATTATAATAATCAGAAAGAAGTGCTAAATCACAATTATAATATATATATATATATATATATATATATATTATATATATATATATATATATATATATATATATATATTATATATATATATATATATATATAAATCTAAATATAAATATAAATATAAATATATATATAATATATATTATATATATATATATATATATTATATATATATATATATATAATATATAATATTTATATATATATATATATATATATTTATATTTATATTTATATTTATATTTATATATATATATATATATTATATATATATATATATATATATATATTATATATATATATATATATATATATATATATATATATATATATATATATATACATATATATCATACATATATATATACATATATATATATACAATATATATACATATATATATAATATATATATGCATATATATATATAATATATATTAATATATATATATATATATATATA